TCGTTTAATTATACAATTAAAATTTGTAATATTTTTGTTTTACTATATTAGTTCCAAAAAGCATAAACGTAGCAGGCACAGACACATAAAAACTTTTTGTAAAAAACTGAATAAGTACTTTTTAAAAATATTACCGAATTGTCATGGACGAAAATACAACGCAAAGAAGGAAGCGAGAGGCCACACGTTCCTTGACCTTTGAATTCGAAAAAAGAACGACGTATTGTTTTTTTTTTTTTTGTTTTTGAGTCTTATGACAAAATTTATTAAATGAACTTTTCGCTCGTTCTACTCCTAGTTTTGGAGTAAAATCTACTTTATTTGAAGGGTTCAATGATGGTTTTTGTATAAATATGTGTAAATGTATTGTCGGAAAGTTTTTGATGCAGTTTTTTGGCAATCACTTTTTTGGTTATAAATGCATATTGTTATAAGGTCTTAAACTACATAGATCCAAGTTTTAATAATTTTATTTATAGTAAGGAATAAAGTAGTTTGAGGAACGTTAGTATGACTATAGAACATGATGTATTATGGTTACATAATCGCACGCCTTTTAACCCAGAAGGGGTAGGGAGAGACATTACGGCACTTAATACCACTGTATGAGTCCCATGTGATAGGAGGTGAGCTTATTGCCATATACCGGGCACAATTCTAGACTTGATGCTACTTACGACTAGGATTTTTTTAAAAACCCAGTAATACTTCGCCCGATCCGGGAATCGAGCCCGAGACCCCTTGCTCGATAGTTGCACTTGCGACCACTCGGCCAACGAGTCAGTCGAGTAACGAGATCAACGTAATATGATTATTTTTTTATTTTATAGTTATTCCAGTTATTCGCCTCCTTGGTGTACAAGTACCAAGTACGATTATTGACCAAGGAGTTTCAGAATCGAAGAAAGTATTATTATATAGCTTTTATGTTTTTGTAAAATATTACAGTAAAAAGCACGTGTCGAATCGGGTCCTGTCTTGAGTATGGCTCACTATAGGTTATAATTATCATAATTGGCAAATACCTATAATTTGCACGATAATCTAATTTAATGTCAATTATTTCATTCAGCATGTCAAAATATTTTGACATTTTTAATACTAGCCTATCTCTCTTTTATTGAACTAATCACTACACATTTTACACTCATACTAATGTATAAAAACATTCATACAAAAATATACACTAAAAAAATTAAATTAAATACCTACACTGACAGCCGGCTGAACAAACAATAAACAAGGCATTGCTCTACGTTAGACAAAGAAAAAAATATAAAAAAATACCAAGAGTGAAAGTGACAGCGGATATCCCTGACCCCTCACAATATTATACAAAATTGGCATGGTCAGTGCCGATAAGATATCGTTATCAAAACATATTCGTTTCGTTGTAATTTTGGCAGTTTTTTTTTCGATAATAACTTTGACATTTGGTGACCGCGCGATTGTATAGTGACGTCATCGAGCGTTGTATGCTTACTTCGCTGCAGTTGGTGTAGTGTAGAGATTCTTAATCGGTAAGTGGGTTATGTTTTTTTTTTAAATGTATCTATGTATTTCTATTTTCTTCTGCTACGTTTTCTATCAACATCAATAGTACGTATCAGTCCATTCTTGGCCATAGACTTCCATAAAAGAGTTTTTTTTTATGGGGTAAGCCGGTAAACGAGCAAACGCATCACCTAATGGTAAGCAATCAAGGCCGCACATGGACAGCCGAAACGCCAGACGTATTACAAGTGTGTTGCCAGCCTTTTCGGGATTACGAATTTGAGCATTATGGGGATTGGGAAGATTGGGAAGGGGTTAATTTATTTGGGCCTCCGGCAACCTCACACACGCGACGGAACAAAACGCAAGCGTTGTTTCACGTCGGTTTTCTTTAATACCATATTTATCATCATACTACCTCTACAACTACAAGACGTCAACCGCTGAACTTAGGTCTCTCCCAATAATTTCCAGATTAGACGGTTGGAAAAGATCTGCATCCAGAAGTATTACTGGGTTTTTCAGTAGTAGCACAGAGTCTGGAATCGTGCCCGGTATATGGCAACAGGCTCACCCCCTATTACATGGGACTCATAAATAGTGAATAGTTGGTGTTACATTGTGCAGTTGCATCCCCTTTGGGGATAAAAGGAGACATTTTTGTAGGCTATAAAACATCACGCTATGATCAATAGGAGCCGAGCAGATCGGGTGACATCGCGCGGAAGTAGCTTATAGGAATTATCATGCTACCTCTTTTTCCAGACACAGACTGGCTACATGTTTGGAAACAAAAGTAACAATAGTAACTAGATAAGATTAGGTTCATATTTATTGTCTGATGTCTGCGTTTTTATGAGTAAGATTGGTTATAATAATAACATATTACTTTTAAAGATACGTAGGCTAATTACGACTCTAATTGTATTGTTGTATTTAGCGTGGAATTGTGTCCGGTGTATGGCAATAGGATCACCCCCATTACATGGGACTTTATGATACTCATAAGTAACTGGTGATGCCTTACTGCATACATTATCAAGGAAGTAAAGGAGTAATATTATTTAATAATACTTATGCAGTCACTTAACGTAATACCACAGACAAAACAAAAAGCCACAGATAAAATATTAAATACACGCAAAATTTAAATTCACTTAAAATTGAAAGTAAAAGCAGACACACACAAACAATTTTATCAATGTGTGTGTGAGCCTGACCTTTCCCAACATAATGGCCGGCGACGCCCGAATACAGGGGTCGATGACACCACGAGGCTGAATGCACGATGCATTCGGCAGGACTCGACAGTTTAAAAAAAATAAACGTCACTTTCGCCGCGTATGAAAATGGAATTCGATTTTCGTTTTCGGTTGATCTGATTTATTTTTCTTTTGTTTTATTTTTATGCGCAACTTTTTTCTCTTTAAGATGTCACGTAATTTCTTTGGGAATTAATATTAGGTAGATTAAATTAGTAATTAGAGAAGTATTTGTTTACGAAAAGTATTGGTTTCTATGATTTCCCTAATTACCTATATAATAAATTGACATTATTAATGAAACATTTCATAATTTGAAGAAGTGATTGACAAAGAGTCTAATTTTTATATATAAATTTAATATACAAGGTTCTGGCTTATAAAGCTACAATTAATACACCCAGTGTACCCGATTCTTCCTTTACTTGAATAAACCTCAAAAATATAAATTGAAACCAATTTAATCCGTATAGCACGAGTCATCTCGAAAACTCAGAATATTAATGACTCAGGGAAGTAATTTGGTTTTACATATTTTGGAGGTTGCGCTGTCAGTTCCCAGTATAATGCGCACGCGCATGATAATACTCAATTTTGGTTCGGACGCACCAGACTACTTTAAATTTATGTTAACCAGAATGTATTGTGAAATAGATTGAAAAAGAGTCTCTATGGAGTTTCTCACTCATTTTTCTTTATAGAATACGTACATTTTTTAATGAAATCTTGATGATAACCAAATTGCCTCGTTGGTTACTAGTACAGCTGCTAAGCGAAAGATTTTGGATTCAACTCCGCAATCAAATTAAACTTCTTTGATTTCAGAATGCATATTTATTTTAAAAAATGTGACTACTTTGTTTTATAGTCAACAAGTGACTGGTTTATGATTAGGGGAGCTCTCTATAACATTAGCTAATTTACGATAATTTGACATAAATGCTTTGACTGTAACTTTGACTTGATCCATGACCAATCTGGTGAAAAATGAATTTGTAATGTGTGCTCTGCCTACCTGTTTAGTGAGCAGGTGTGATATTACGTATGACATATTGAATGGACTATACATTGACGTAACATACGAGTAAACTGTAATACAATCAAACTATGTTATTGTAACAAAATGGCATTCCTTGTTACATATTTTGTATTATCCATTTACTGTTGAAATGAAATAGATAGAATACATTAAATGTATTGGAGAATGACTGAAAATCAACTGCGATATAAGTAGATCTTCATTTTGGAGTGAGGAGTTAGCTTCACTGGGGATAATGCAATTTTGACGTTTCTAAAGTCGTTTTGAGATGTCTGTTTCGGCAGCTTTAGCCAAATGCCACTTAGCGCTTGTCTACATGTAGAATGGAAAATCAAATTATATGGAATTGACGTAAATTTTGACACTTGTCAGTGTCATCCCCATACATTTTGATTTGTACTCTCTCTGTAGACAAGCGATAATTTTGACTTTCACTTTGAAAATACTTTTTTATATGCTCCTAATGTATTGTATTTTTAAACATTTTTAATAACTTATACTACTTATCATATATATAGTAAAGTAGCTTACCTACTTACACAAGGTATCACTTAAATTTTTGGACAATAAATAACACGCATCTTAATTAAAACACATGATAACTGTTTATTTAATTAATATTATTTATTCTTAACTCTCTCTTATCTAAAAAGAAAGTTGATTGAATAAGTCTTCATTTGTTAGTTTATCTGTAAAACAATAATCTTTGTCGCGTCAGTGGGTGCGTGTGCGCAGCCACAACAATCCTCAACTGGGTCATTGGTTTGGTGCGAAATATGCAAGTTTTTCGGAAATATTTAGTAAATTAATGCTAGTCAAACAATTTCCTACGACCTACATAAGCAGCTGATGACAGATCTTTTAGTTGCTAGATGGAAATTGAAATTTAGTTAAATGTATGGAGTTAAGTAGTTAGCGACATTGACGCATTGATAATGAAGATATAATTATGGGAACACACGAACAATGTCTGAAGTCTGAACAGTTTGTAGCGACGAAACCTTATGACGTAAGTGTCGAGGTCCAAGCTACGTTTGTGTAACAGATATAAAGTTACATGGCCAGCACATTACAAGCGCACCATTGCATCCAAGTTTATTGACGCCGCATCCGTCTGAACTTGGAGTTTAAGCCTCTGTGAATGTCATCTAGGCTCAAACCCGCAGTACAAGTGCGCTAACTCGCCGGTGTGCACCGTCACGCCGCGCACACGACACTCAAAATATTATTAAAAAAATAACCACATAGAATACACATCAAAAGATGACAGTTCAAATTCAAATTCCAAATGTTCGAATTTAGAAATGTCCGCTGAACACGCGCGGGAAAGAGACGAACATAACTCTGAGCGTCTGCTATTTCGGTGACGTCGACACGGTGCATAGCGAAATAATGTATAATGAAAAGTGGCAGTAATTTCGATGTGTTTACGCGCTGTGCTAGTTTATTTGGTTAATAGCAGTTTGTTTTTCTAATCGGCTGCGTTTGGACCGGTGGCGCCCTCTTCGTGTCCCATTCCCGCTCCATAGATACACATGGTTGTATTTCATGGAGCTGTCATAACAATAGCGACCTCGTGGACTGGGATTTATTTTAGTGGAAGTACCCCTCGAGTGCGGCGTGATGTGTGACAGTGCAACTAGTTTTTGGCGCGGAGAAACTGTGGCGGCCGTAACGCGGAAAATTGAGCTAGCGGTGTTTTTTTCCTAACTTAACCTACGACAATCTTCAGTTGCGCGCGAGCTGTCCCCGCACGCGCCTCGCGTATCATCCGACACGAAAATCTACGAAAATCTCCCGAATGGACCCCGAGCCGGTGGCGAGCCCACCCGAAATCACACTCCCAGCTCCATGTGAGTGTGTTCAAAACGTTCCATTTTCGAATGCAGCGGAATAGTCGCGACCGCGCGTTCGATGACCTCATAAAGTGAAACTATTTTTTTCTTTCACTTTGCTCAATTTTGTGATGTAGCCATAGTGCCTTGCTCGTACAAAACTTATGGAATATTGTGATGACAAAGTGCAAACTTAGATAAAACTAGGACTTGTAGTGTTAGTGAACTATTTTATTAATGGAGAAACAAACGACGAGGAACATTTTATATGCATATGGACAGATACTGCATGGGCTCTAGGTGAGTGCTTATCTTTTACTAAATATAAAGTAATCGAGTTGTTGTATCGAGTGGTCCGTACTTTATTAAGTCAGTTCTATGAACGCCAATCTTAATCTATGAACTTGATGATCTGAGCGCAGTGAAGTTGGCCTCGTGTGAGTTGCATTGCTAGCTGCGCCTGCAAATGCACCCATGTGACTATCGCGGTCTCGGCCCGTGGAGGGCAGTGCGAGGGAAAACAGTGCTTATTGACACAATTTTTAAGATAAAATAGGGTCTGTTTTGTTTGCATGCGTTATTTTTGGGTTGACGAACTTGGCGAAAGATATTTTTGTTTGGTAGGACACATTAGTAATTTTGCAGTACGTCGCCTTGCCTGCGCACGATTGGCCTTCGTGCTATCAGTGTAGGTAGGAACGCTAACCTATTAGTTTGCCTAGGTTTGTGCGATAATAACTTCGACTCGATGGAGTTTCAATGACTTTATACTACTTATTTGGCGGCTACTATAAACTATTAATACATTTAAAAATGGAATGTTATTTAAATTTGGAATTAAAAAGAAATAAATTATGAATAACGGTTCACAGTTTTTAAAATGAGAACAAAGAAAAATAAAGAGTTGTCACGACGAGTTTTTGCTTCGTTCGTAGGTATATACCTAAGTAGCTACAGGTAGGTAGCTAGTGAATGGCGGGAAACCGGCTTACTTACTGTATATGGCTCATAGATCAACATGATCATGAACTAGCCAAGTGTACCATTTTATTTCTATTACTGATACACAATACTTCGTCCTATAAAAGAACTTAGGTACTTACAACATGAATGATAAATTCAAAGGAGTTTACTTTCAGTATTAAGAATTCCATATGGCATCCCTAACACTGATTAACACTCGTTACTAATTGAAATAAAGTTTATTTTCTTATAAATTTTAAAATATATACAAATTTATACGAATTATGTTAAAATTCTAGTGACCAAATCTACCTTTGGTTAGGTTATTTATTTGACACGCCATACATAGATATTTTCCTCTCTTTCGAATTCCGAATGCTGAATGATGAAAGGTACATAACACAATTTGATATTTAAATTGCGAAGGCCACAGGCGTTCGAATTATGAAAAATTTATTCGTTAAAAAGAAGTTGTGTTTATTTCAGTTTTAAATTAAAGGATGCACGTAAACGCAGTATCTCATTCACATTCTGAATTCAATTTGTAAGCATGTTCTTTTAGGAAAATTCTTTGATATATTTTTTTGAACATTGAAAACATACCCGGGGTCCCAATTACTCCTCAATTTCCCAAACCTTATTTCTTTCTTTCCTCTTCTTACTTTCAAATCCCTAGTTCCCAAAAGACTGTTGTACCTTCTCTAGTGTTTCAAGTATACATCGACACAGAATGATCAGTCTACTCGCTTGGCTCCTTATATCTTAAAAAAACCAATATCCAATGAATTCTTATTAGAAAGACCTTATCATCATGATCATCATCATCATAATTAAAAAAGACACCTGAATATAGGCCTTTCTAAATGTCTTCCAGAATATTGCAAACGACTTCCATCCAGTGACCCCTTGCTACCTTTATCGCAAGTCCATGTTCTGGATGGAACAGACAAATGCCAGAAAAATGAAACGCTTCTCAATTTTAATTTCACGCTTAAGTATATTTCTGTTTTTAGAAAATCTTTGTGAAATTACAAAGACAGTACTCAAAATTGAGTAGCATTTTAGTATTCAAGCGATAAAGACCTAAAAATGGACCCAGACTAAAGACCCCATGCCACAAGTAGGTAAATAACATTTGAAATGAATCACTAGATTCACCTTTAACTTAATTCAATAGCTAGCAGGTCAAGGAAGAACGATTGTCTTGAAAAAACAAAAGATTATAATTACAATACATATCACATTTAATATAAACAAGTCTAGTCTATGATGATTCTGGTTTCCGGTGGGCCATAGATTAGCTAGAATATCAGTTGCGTTTGACTGATGTCTGGCCTTTACAACCTATGAATAACGGCACAAAAATCCCGGACTTAAAAATATAGTCAAAACGTGATTTTGGGACAAATATGCCGCATAATTTTGAGCGTTGCAGCCCTTCTAACGAGGGATCGACAATGAACTAACCCCTATCATTGCATCATAGGGCCAAAAACAACTGTCTTGGGTTCCGAAACTAAATAATTCTTCTAAAATATTATTGATAAAGAAGGAACTCCGAACTTTTTTATACTGTAGCTCCTATCCTATCTCCTATCAGTTTATTATTTAGTACATTAAAAAGATTGATGATTGTGGATGAAGCGAATGAGGTATGTAAAAATCGTAGCACGAGACAGGCGTGAAGTTATATAATAAGTAGAATTTAAGTGTAAGAGTTCCCTTCCCTAGTCCTTGAATCCCCAAATTCCTAATTCCAACAGGTCGGTAACGCTCTTGCAACGCCTCTGGTGTTCCAGGTGTCCATGGTCGACACCGATTGCTTGCCATCAGGTGATATCGCCGCTCGTTTACGGGCTAATACCATAAAAAATGTCGCGGAGAACCTAACGGGTAACCGGGGCTCCGGCTCGACGTGCAGGAGAAGGAACGGGGTGGTTTTTAGTCAGTAAGAGTCTCAGACCCGAGCGTACGGCGCGTCGCGTTCCGCGCGCGCCTCAAAGAGCCATCAGACCACCACAGATGGGGCCCAATAGGGCTGTTGCCGATTCGGAGTTGCGGAGAACCTAACGGGTAACCGGGGCTCCGGCTCGACGTGCAGGAGAAGGAACGGGGTGGTTTTTAGTCAGTAAGAGTCTGACACTCCCTCCCATAAAAATAAAAAAAAACCAACATCCGTCTCTTAATTACGACCTAAAAATATTTTTGGCACACTAAAGTCATTTTTTGTCAAAAAAACAGCCGGTGTTTGATAGCGTTATCAACGTGTTTTACCTTAAAATATCGTACGTGGTAAATCTGAATATAGGGATTACCAAGTAGGTAAGGTTAATTAAACAAATACATTTTAGAATAACGCGGTTACAACATTCCCACAAAATTTATGACAAATAAGGAAACTCATAGACACTATTATTTTGCCACTAAAACACAAAATTGTTAATGTAACCAGTCATTTTTGTTGGTTAAATGTATGTATTGTTATTTATTTTTTGATGCTTCGTTACAAATACTATGTGCGTATGTAATTTGATTTAACCGCAAATGAGGCAATGGAAGTCCCCTTGAATACACACTTAGACATGTAGAACGTAAAACGAATTACGTACTAAATACTAAAGATTGAAAAGAACAAGGCTTGTGAAAAATGGGTCTTCAAGGCCTGAGTGAATAGGATGTTTATGGGCAGACGTGTTCCATCGTAGGCCTAGGCATCATCGCTTATCACCAGGCGAGATAGTGGTTAAACGTCGGGCCATCAAATATATAATACAAGAAACACCCTTTTTTAAGAGGGGCAAATCATCGAATTGCTTCTCCCGTCTGGTTGAGGCGGGAGGGAGTGTCAGACTTATACTGACTAAAAATACCCCGTTCCTTCTTCTGCACTTGGAGCCGGAGCCCCGAAAAAAAAAACCCCCTAAGACTAATGATCGACGATGTAACGCTAGAATATAATACGTATTGTCATCACCTCTACTCCAGTGGATGTCGTATAAACTGACTGGGGCAGTAAGACTTTGACAGAGGTCTGGCAGAAGCAGTGTCCGATAAGCTTAAATCTTTAACCTGCGTTCTCTAACCCATTTGAAAAGTGTGAAGACCATGGCAAACCTTCTTTCTGTTGCACAAAGAAGACCTGTACTCCTGTAGTCCAGCTGCGGGCTATCACGGAATCCGTTGATGGTGATGTCATAATAAACATCTATACTTACTAACAGAATCGTTTATGTCCAAACTTGCATTTTTAATGCTGACTGCCTCATTGGCCGAGCCCGAGACCCCTTGCCTGGTAGTCTGGAAAAAAATTACTTTTACGATTCCCAGGTCGGGCAAAAAAAAATCTCAGTAGTAGCACGGAGTCTGGAATCGTGCCCGGTATATGGCAATAGGCTCACCTCCTATTACATGGGTCTCATAACATAAATAGTGAAAAGTGGGTGTTACAATACCTATTGCACATTGCATTAAGTGCCGCAATGTGCATTTCTGCCTACCCCTTCCAGGATGAAAAGGCGTGATGTTATGTTATGTATAGTTATGTTATGTTGCATTTTTAACCATCCACCAAAAGGACCAACAAAAAATACCACTTTAAAAAAAAATCATGTCTACTTTAAATCTGTTAGTGGCACGCCATGAAGTTATCGATCGTCCAGAAATATGTCCAAACGTGCATTTAATATTCGAGTCGGTCAATTCGGCTAGGACAATCGATACAGGTAAATTGTCATGCTTTGTAAGGAGTTCGTTGAACTAAATCCACTTTACTTTTATTGGGTTAAAATAAAATTAGCTGGGGAATAGATTATAGATGACATTTTGGGTGTTTGGTTTAAGGTGTTGATGTGATTTTTATGGGATAGGCGTGTGCTCGTTTCAGCAGACGGATCTCCTGATGGTAAGCGATCAGAGCCGCTCATTGACACACGCAACACCAGAGGATGAAAGGATTTACAAGTCCGTTGCTGGCCTTTTGAGGGAAGGGGGGTTCTGGATTTAAGGTTTGGGGAAATTGGGATGGAGAGAAATTGGGCCTCCGATAAACTCACTCACACGATAAAACACAACGTTTAGAGTTTATTTCACGTGTAATGCTCTTTCCATTTAAAACTGGATAATTAAACGGGGTGTGAAACTAATTGACAAGTTTGAGGTGGATAAGTGAAATAATGTCCAGTTTCGATTGTCAATAAGAATGGGGATGATGACAGGGTATGAAAATTAAAAATATAATTAGTCCGTAACTTAGGTAATAAAAAAATATTAGACACGTATTTTTTCATTTCGTCGTATAATAAAACAATACTTAGATAAAACGAATCAAAGTTTAGGAG